GTAACTTTATTTGAAAGGATTCAAATATCGATTGGAGTTTGATTTGGTCCTTCCTTACCAAAGAAAGGTACTAAATAATGGCTTGACCTCCCTGTTAGTTGATTGTCTTTTTATTTTTTTTTAAATTCACTTTATAGGCTTCTCTCCCTGTCCCCTCCCCCCACTTTCTTTTTCTAACTCTTCTGCTTTAAAGACTAAAGTGGTATGAGTGAGGTTGAAAAAGGGGAAGAAAATCAACTGTCACATTGTGAACGTAATTGATTCAATAAATAATGTCTTTCAATTCCCAAGGCAAACCTCAACATCTTCACTTATGTCAATTAGTGCTCAGTTCAGTAAGTGGCGGCGTTCGTAATTTAGATGGATGGGGAGAGTTCACCAGTTCTCACTTCCGAAGGAGAAGGAGTGTGCTTTTCTTGTGGTTAAAGACATATACCATATGAATTTATGCATCTATTTTGCAAAAAGAAGCTTGGAAGGGAATGAATGTGGCAGGTATTTTGCACCCTGGCTGTAGGAGGACATCATTTTAATTGTAGTCCAGGAATTTGTTGAAAGAAAAAAAATTGGGTTATGAGCTGGATTAAATTTCCACTGAGGGTACAGTGTATACTTGACAATGTTGAATTTTATTGGAGCCATATGGTCTTATAAAAGAGTGAAGGGGTTAAGAACCCCCCTACTCCTTTCTGCTATGGAAAACAGCTTACTGCAAATAAATATCCTTTCCCATGACTTTGAGTAGAAACTGACTTGATGGCAATGATTTTTTAAATATGACTTAGGTAAGACTTCTGGTCTGGCACTGTACGATCAGCATTGGATTGATAGCCGCAAGTTTGGCAGTTCAACCTCTCAGCTGCTCCTGGAAAATCCTGTGTAGGGTCGCTATGAGTTGGAACTGATTGGACAGCACTCAACAACAACAGTAATAGATAAGACCGCAAAGAACCCTAGTGGTGCTGTTGGACTGGTAGCTGCAAGGTCAGGTTCAAACCCACCAGCTGCTCTATGGGAGAGAGCGGCAGCTTTCAGCTGCTATAGAGATGTACAGTCTTGGAAACCCTGTATTCAGTTACTGCTGTAAGTTGGAATTGACTCGATGGCAGTGGTTTTGGTTTATCTTAGACTGCAGTTCCCCCTTGATTACCTGTAGCAAGACTACATATGTTGTTGTTATGTGCCGTGGAGTTGGTTCCAACTCATAGCGACCCTGAGTTTCCGAGGCTGCAAATCTTTATGGGAGCAGAAATCCTCATCTTTTTCCCATAGAACAGCTGGTATTTCCAAACTGCTGACTGACCCTGAGGTTAGTAGCCCAATTCATAACCACTACACTACCAGAGCTCCTTAAGACTACGTATGTTGTTGTTGTTATGTGCCGTGGAGTCGGTTCCGACTCATGGCGACCCTGTACAGAGTTTCCGAGGCTGTAAATCTTTACGGGAGCAGAAAGCCTCATCTTTCTACCGCCAAATAGCTGGTAGTTTCGAACTGCTACCCTTGCGGTTCGCAGCCCGATTCGTAACCACTATGCTACCAGAGCTCCTACGTATAGACCTCCCAATTTCCCATTTTTTCCTAATACTTGATTAAACTGACCTGTTTGTCATTAATAAGCTAAACTTTGGTTAGGTTTCTCTCCTTTCCCTAACTCCCCAAACTTTGGTCCACCATTGTTGTTAAGTACCATCGAGGGGGTTCCAACTCAAAGCGACTCTCTGTAGGGTTTCCGAGGAACGGCTGGTGAATTTGAACCCCAGACATTTAGGTTCAAACTGACCTTGTGGTTCAGTGCATTATCCTACAGCACCACACCAGGACGCCTGTGCAAATACATAAGCCCCTCTTCAAGGGCCCCTTCCTGGCCAATAGGCTGACCTCAGCATAAAACGTTCTCTGATTACACTATCCTTTCATCCCACACCTGGTTCTTTCTTACATTGTTTCACTCGTTTATAAAAGAGAAACCTAACTCTGGAGTCTTTTGCTGGTCGTATAGTCAGAGCTTTCTCCCTATTACTATAGTGTCCCTCCCCTTATTGTATTGCTTCCTTTCCTCTCTACAAGAACGCCTTTGAATAAAATCTCTCCTTACTAAGCCTGGATTTGTTTTTTATTTCAAATCTTCAGAAATGATTAAGGAGAACCTACATTGGAAGAACTGGAAGATTTGCAGAGGTGATATAAAGCTACACTTTAAAGAACTGTAGAACTACTTGTGCTTCAGAAAAGCATGAAGTCTGTTCTACATGGATACATTGCTGAGTTCCATCTCCAGAGATTCTGGTCCCGTAGATTGGGGTACGACTGCAAGTCAGTTATTTGCTTTGGTGGGTTCTCCCTTAGAAACTACTAAACTAGCTGGGTGTGGTTACTACTAGCTGGATATAGTAGTAACACTAGGCTGAGCAGTCCCTGGATCTCTGTGGTGTGAGCTTACTCTTTGGGAAAGGGAGTCTCCTAAGGCATCCAGCAAAACACTTGGCAGAGATGTGATGAAGTCACTGACTCTGATGACAGTGATCCTGCTCTTGCAGTTTGCTGTGTTGATTCAGTCAACACTACATGCTCCTTTGCTGTTCTGTCAATATCCTTCCTCTTCAAGACGGTGTCAGTATTTGTGGTGATGGAAGAATCTGAAGGTCCTTCTGAGTCCTCAAAGGAGCACTGAATTATGTTCAATAGACGAGTGTGAGTCAAAAATTATCCCCACTCCAGATATATTAAATTACCCATCCACGTCCACTGCCGATGACAACATTGAGTGTGTATGTGAAATGATTGTTGAATAGATGATTGATAGTGGATTATGTGGCAAATTATTTGCCTATCAGCCTATTAAATAATGGATCTGCCTATTAAATAATTCGAGACAGACTTGGGTTTCAAAAAGTTTGTGCGATATGGGTACCAAAACAACTTATGGGAGAGCATAAACAGAAGCGTTTGGACATCTGCAAACAAAATTCATACCTATAATTGAAAGAAGATTAAGATGCTTACAAAAATCATTACTGGTGATGTAACGATGGATTCATCACTATGAGCCTGAGAGTAAACGGCAGAGTATGGAATGGAAACATCCTCAATTGCCGACCAGGAAAAAGCTCAAAAGTTAACCATCAGTTGTGTGAAAATTGACGCTTACAGTTTTCTGGGATTCTCAAGGGCCAGTATTAAAACACTATCAGGAAAATGGTTCAACAATCAGCAGTACTCGTTACAGTGAGATGCTAAACTGAAGAGCTGAAGCCTAAACTTCAGATGAAATGCAGACGACTGCTATCCAAGGGCGCTGTGATCTTGCATGACGATGCACATCCACACACTTCTGCCCACACTGTTGACACTCTGTAAAAACTTCGTTTTGAGGTGTTTAAAGCCATCCTCCCTATAGTCCTGATCTTGCTCCATTGGACTGTCACCTGTTTGGCCCCCTGACAAACAGTCCTTGCAGGATGAAGATCCACCTCTGATAAAGAACCGAAGACAGTGGTGCATTTGTGGCTTGCAGCTCAGCCTAAAATATTTTTAAATAAGGGAATACAAAAGTTTGTTGACAGATGGACCAAGTATATTGAAAAGCAAGGAGATTATGTTGAAAAATGATGTGTTGGTCTTTTCTAAAAGTTGATTAAAGTAAATTCTACAGCCAGTATGCGGACACTCTTTGACTCACCCTTGTGCTTCGGTTTTAAATATATTTTATTGTATTATCTAGAGATGGCTTTTATTACTTTCATTTCCATCCTCTGGCTCAGAACAAACCCCAAGTAGGAAGTTCCTGCCTTTATCCTATAGGCCCACTCAACATTTCCCAAACTTGCCTGATCATAAGTAGTTCACCTGGGAGTAGTTAATATTATAGAACTCTGGGGACTACTTGAATCCATCATCAGAAACTTCCTGGGATTTATTGTTCAGTTAGATAGGTTATAGGTGCAGTAGCGGAATGAATGTTGAAGAGAGGTTAACAGGTGGCCTCTGGAACCAGAATAGTGTGCCTGGACTCTTTCCCTGGCTTTATTAATACTCATGTATTATTAAGACAAATTTGTGCTTGGTTTCCTCCTCAGTAACATGGTAAGACTAGTACTTGTTCAGAGGTTTTGTGTGCATTAAACAAAATGTCTTAGGCTGGTTCTCGGACACAGCCTCAGAGATGAAGATTTGCATGAAGAAGGTGGTTGGAAAAAACTCTCAGAAACAACTCTTTCTAGAGTGATGGATACAAGATTAGGCAGAGGCGAAGTTTAACTGCAATTGTGAGAGCCACAGGTGATCCAACAGGGCTGAGATGCCCTTCAGAGTTGTCCAAATTGAAAGAAGGGGACCCATCCTTTATACCTTTATAACTACCAGTCACTGAATGTGGACTGTCCCTGAAGATAAGACAGGCCCTAGGTAAGGCTGTTCCCTTTGACTGAGTGCTGCTGGGAGCATCAGGGAGTACCAGGTATGGCACCATGGTTAAATCACCAGACTGCAAAGTCATTTGAACTGCAATGGCGGCAGTTCAAGCTCACCAGCTGCTCCTCGGAAGCTGTATACAGGGTTGCTATGGGTCAGAACCGACTCGATGACATTTAACAAAAACAACCTGGAAATACACATAAAAACCTTAGTGCCAAAGCTAGCACATTTGTGAGTGTTCAATAAATATTAACTATTTACCTATTTTATTCCAGTTTGGGTGATTTCATTCAGTAGCTAGATCACCTTCAGAAGTTGCTTAACTTCTCCTAGACGGTTTTCTCATGTTTAAAGGAGAGATCTTAAACTCTGTTTCCGTCCCCAAGTAGTTCAGTGCACATGTGGAGATAATATACGTGAAATTGCTGAGTAAAATGTCAAATGTAAGGTATGACTGTGAGCCTACTTTGCTGAAATGAATATATGGCCGTGACTTGGATTCCTTAAGGGATAGGATTGTGACAAATATAAAACTGCTTGTCGGTGAATTATGGCCTTTTGATTTTTCTTTCTTTTCCATCCAGGGGATTAGAATAATGGAGATGCTGCTGAAGGAACAGTGTGGTGCCCCCTTAGCAGAATAAAGAATCCTCAGTGAGTACCAGAAGAAAACTCCGAATTATTTACTGGAGGCATGTTCTCATAAACCTGGCAGTATGCACTGGCTCCTCTGGGCTATTCTTACTGTGTATTTCCCAGCCATATGCCCGGGTGCTGCTTTAGAGGCGTTTTTTGCTGTCTGCTTAATACCTTCATTTACTTGGATTTTTTTTATTTTCATAGCTTTTGCAACATGTGCTAAGTTACAACTACATTCAAATTGTCAAAACTATTCAGCACAAGTCACAGGATTTTGACCTTCAAGGTGGCATAGATTTGTAGAGACTGCAGCTCAGGATTAGCTAAAGCCTACCTTTACTTTCCTGAGAACAATAAAAGGAAAAGTTGAAAACTGTAATTGGTGCAAAAGGAAAGAAAATAAGGATCATGTTGATTGACCAGTGAAATAAATATGCTTTATCATCTCTGGTAGCGTAGTGGTTACAAATCGGGCTGTGAACCACAAGGTCAGCAGTTCGAAACTACCAGCTGTGCCATGGAAGAAAGAGGAGGCTTTCTGCTCCTGTAAAGATTTACAGCCTCGGAAACCCTATATAGGGTTGCTATGAGTCGGAATCGACTCCATAGAACATAACAAGATCATCTTATCTACTCCCATTGAAGGACCTCTGGTAGCGTAGTGGTTACGAATCGGGCTGCGATTCTCACGGTTCGCATTTCAAAACTACCAGCTGTTCTGCGGGAGAAAGGTGAAGCTTTCTGCTTCCGTAAAGATTTACAGCCTTGGAAACCCTGTATGGGGTCGCTATGAGTCAAAACCGACTCCACGGCACATAACAACAACAACAACAATTCCCATTGAGTGAGCGTTGTTGTTAAGTGCCATGGAGTCAATTCCAAGTCATAGCAACCAACCCTGCATAGGGTTTTAGAGGCTACAAATTTTTATGGAAGCAGAAAGGCTCATCTTTCTCCCAAGGAGCAGCTTGTGGGCTTGAACAACCGACCTTGACCTTGTTGTTCATAGTCCAGTGCTTATTCAATAGAGCCACTTTGCTCCCTGATTGAGGGGTGGTAGTGGTTTGCCATGGAGTCGGTTCCAACTCATAGCGACCTTGTACAGGGTTTCTGAAGCTGTAAATCTTTTACGGGGCAGAAAGCCTCATATTTCTCCTGAGGAACAGCTGGTAGTTTCAAACTGCTGACCCTGAGGTTAGCCTGATTCGTAACCACTAAGCTATCAGAGCTCCTTCTAATTGAAGGTAGCTGTCTCAAATGCTATTGAGAAGGATTCCAAGTCCTTAAGAACAAATTCCAGGCTATGGATGGGAAAATCTTGATTGATTAGCAATGTCTACCATGGGTACAGCATGGAAGAAGGACAGTGCTTGTGTTGGAGCACATGCCGTCTGCAGTGTAGGGCAAGTGGTATAACAGTGGTGTAACAGGTAGCAGGAAGATTGTAGAACTACTGATACTCTGTGATGCTCTAAATTTCTGAATTAAGGGAAATTTATTAGAAAGGGCAGAACAAAGTTATTTAAGAGAGATTCAGTGCTCCAAATAGAAATATAGTAGATTTGCATCTTAGAAAATGTATGGGACTTAGGTTTTTAGCGTCTGAGAGAAGATAACCCTTGAGCAAAGCAAACATTGCCTGGAGTAATTTTTAAAAATTATTTCAAATTTACTTACATTGGCTAAGAAGTCCAGTCCACGTGGTTTTGTACTCTGTGATGCTCAAGGCTCAGAACCATTAACCAAAGCAGCAGTACAAGGAACATTTTATATAAGTATCTTGGCCTTCAAAACATGGGGGCTAGGCCTGTGAGTGGACTCTAGCTGGGGAAATGAAAAGTAGCCCTGCTTGTTTGCAGCTTTGTTTCCAATCTGACTGACGTGTTCAGTTACTATTCAGATGGTTCCAACTCATGGTAAACCCATATATGTCAGAGTAGAACTGTGATTAATAAGATTTTTCAATGGCTGATTTTCCAAAAGTAGGCCATCAGGTCGCTTTCCTGAAGTGTTTCTGAGTGGATTTGAACCTCCGCCTTTCAGGTAGCAGTCCAGCATGTTAATCATTACTGGAAAACCTCTGTAAACTTAACATAGAGTAGTAGATATTTGTTGCTAGGAAGACTAAACAAGATAATTTCATTTAAAGTAGGTTTGGCACATGCAGAACTCACAAAATGGTAGGAATGGAATCGAAATACGTTTTGCTCCTATATCCATTCTATTCTTTGGAAAGTTGTAGAGTAGATCTTGATCATGTCTCCCAGTTTTTTCCAGGCTGGCATTTTTTTGTGAGACTCAAAAGCAAAACGATAAACACAAAATGAAAACAACAAAACAAAACCAGTTACCATAGAGTTGGTTCCAACTCCAACTCATAGTAACCCTATTATGTTTTGAGTAGAACTGTGCTCTAAAGGGTTTTCAAGGCTATGATTATTTGGAAGCAGATTGTCGAAGACTTTATGAGATATCTCTGGGTGGGTTTGAACCACAAGCTTGACTAAGCACCTCTTCTACTCGTGCCCTTGGGCGTAAATCTCACTCAACTTTGGGGAAGAGCATGGAGACTAAAAATCAGTCCCAAGTTAACTACAAGCATGGAAGTGTGCTTGCTAAATACAAGCATGGAAAGGGTGTGTACTTGGTGGTTTTCCATCTTTAAATCAGTATTTTCTAACTTTAGCTAGCATCAGAATCATCTGGAAGGCTTGGTAAGCAGATTGCTGGTCTCCACCTCCAGTGTTTCTAGTTCATCAGGTCTGGGAAGGTCCTATAACTTACATCTCTAACAAGTTTCCACACCAGAATAATACACTAGATTACGAAATTGCTATGAACCACAATGTCGACAATTCAAACCCACCAGCCACTCCTTGGAAACCCTAGTCGGGGTCACTGTGAGTTGGAACTGTCTCGACAGCACCTAACAACAACAAAGCAAGTTTCCAGGTGATGCTGCTGCTGCTGGTCCAGGGACCCCACTTTGAGAACAAACTTGTCATTGATGGTCTGAGTTAGACTAAATGCTAGGGCATGAAGAAATCATTTTTAAAATCTTTGTTTTGAGTTCAGTCAGTTTTAGATTGATCAGAATGATTTTTTTAAAAAAAAACCAGTATGGCTTTCCCCCGATTTCCAACCTCTTCTTGCTTAATGTTAATCGGCTCCACACTGGAGCAAGACTAACAGAGGAGCAGAGACTCACTCCAGCGTGTGTTTTAAATTCTTTTCGATTTTGAAGTCTTGTAAGTGGGGCTGCAGAAATGATTCACTTCAAATAAGTTTACAGTAATAACTATAGTCTTGAATTACCTTTTCTTGTTCTCGCTCTCTCTCTTTTTCTGGAGTTGAAGACTAAGTCATAAATTCAGGGCTTTGTATTATTTATTTAAAAAAAACACACACACACACAAAAATATAACAACTTATTCTCCTCTGAAGTGAAGTGGCTGAAATCTGGGTATTATGTGGAGGTCTGTGTCATGCATTTGCATTTAATGTATTTATTGCAATGCAGTTCCTGAAGGATTTACATAATTCATACTCTTGGAATTCATAACCAATTTTCTCAAAGGAGCACATGTAAAGTAGGAGGTATATACTTTTACCACGTAAATCCAGAGTTGCTATAAACTTGAGGCTGTTGGTGAAACTCTAAGCTTTTTTTCAAATCAACTTCATTGAGGTATTAAATGAAAACCAAATCAGATCCATTGCTGTTGAGTACATTATGATTCCTAGTGACTCTGTAAGACAGAGTAGAACTCCCCATGGGTTTCCATGGCCCTATATCTCTGGTAGCGTAGTGGTTACAACTCGGGCTGCAAATCACAAGGTCGGCAGTTCAAAACTACCAGCTGTTCCGTGGGAGAAAGATGAGGCTTTCTGCTCCCGTAAAGATTTACAGCCTTGGAAACCCTGTACTGGGTCGCTATGAGTCAGAACCGACTCCACGGCACATAACAACAACAACAACAACAGCATATCTTTATGAAAGCAGATTGTCACATTTGTCTCCCAAAGAGAGAACTGTCAACCTTCGGGTTTACAACCAAGCACTTTAATTACTGTATCACCATGGCTCCTTGAAATACTGCATACATGCAGTTAAATTTTCCATTTTCAGATACAGTTTGGTGAGTTTGAACACATACAGTTACTAAGCACCACTGTAAGCTTGATAGACACGTACTCCTCACTTATCAACTTGGTGAAATTCTGTAGACCAGGTCATTCTGTAAAAAATATGGGTTATGTGAAAATGGAGGATGACCACATTAGACCAAAAATGGAAGATGGCTACATCATTTTATCATTGCCAAATTATATCATTATAGGACTGTCAAATTATGATCACCTAATTGCCAAACTGAGAATCATAACTATTATAGCCAGCATTATTCTCGTCTTGCACCTTGGTGATTTTTACTGCCAGATAACAGTATGTTGTTAATGTGCAAAATAGTCATAATATTTTTTTATTACTGTAATAAATGTGAAATGCCTGGTAACAAGATAATTGATAAGTGAGGTGGCGTTGTTGTTAAGTGCCATCGAGTCTGTTCTGACTCATAGCAACCCTGTACAGGGTTTCCGAGGAGCAGCTGTGTGGTTTGAACTGCCAACCTTGTGGTTTGCAGTCCAGCGCTGATCCTACAGCACCACACCAAGAGTCCAAGTGGGGTGTAGGTGTAGCCTCATATTTGATGTGGCCATGTTGATAGTTTTTCTTTTTTTCCATTTTTTTAACTAGTTTTACAAAATGTTTGCAAACCTAAAATGGACCTGTCTTAATGCTGCTTTTTAGATTTTCACAATTAGCTCTCTGGGAAATGGGAGAATGGTGGTAGGTAGAGGGAACTACTGATTTTTTTTTGTTTTTGTGAGCAGTATAACAGTTAGTTTGGGGCTGGCAAACTACAGTGTCTGGGCCAAATCCAACTTGCTACCTATTTTTATAAATAAAGTTTTATTAAACATGACAATGTTCCTTGCTGTGTTC